GGCTCACTGCACCCTCTGCCTCCCAGGTTCAAGCAATTCTACCTCCTCAGCCTCTTGAGTAGCTGGGATTACAGGGGTATGCCACCACGCCAGGCTAATTACGGGGTTTCATGTTGGTCAGGCTGGTTCCAAACTCATGGCCTTGTGATCCTCCTGCCTTGGCCTCCCAAAGTGCTGGGATTATAGGTGTGAGCCACTGCACCTGGCCAGGATCTTTTGCTTTCTTAAAGGACTTTCTAATCTATGTCTATCCCAATTTGTCAAAGTGTGGAATTTGGGCAGGGATATGCTTCAAAGTATGACACATGTTTTGTGAAATACTTTCCCATAACTTTGTCATCAGCAGGAAACCAGAGGATTCTGTCCTAGTAAGGATCCCTACTAATTTGAAATCATTTCTGTGTGATCATTCATACAATTGTATCTTTAGACTGCTGATAGTCTTGAGTATATTTGGGGAAAATCCACAGTACTTTATAGAATTAGGTCATCAATCATTATAAAGTACCACATCTTACTAATGTTCTTATTAATGTTCTTTCTGGTACATTCAGATTGAACAGTTCATTCATTATTAGTACCAAACATTTTCAACCTGTTATAGACATATACCCTTTTATGAGTTTGGGGTGGTGGCGGTGGTTCTACTTTTTTTATAATATAGAAATCTATTATTTTTACCTTTTTCTCAAACCCAGCTTCCCATACTAACTATGTACTTCAATCCATATCAGAAGGAATCCCCCTCTAAAATGAAGATTGTTCTGTATCCAGGTACTTTTATGTTGATTACCAGTGAGGGTGGAAACTTCATAGTGGTTTTTAGTTTTACAGAGGGTTTGTCCACTGAGATCTACATTGAAACAATATAGGCATAGAACAGATACCTGCTGAAACTCGTCTTTATGAAGAAGAATCTTATTTAACAATTTATAAGTGTGCTAGTTTTATAACCTTGTGTTACTTTGAGATTACAAGCTATGTCCTGATAATTCTGTGTCCTGATAATAGTTCCTTTTCTTTGCAATAATTTTAATTTTTGTTGCAAGATGAATCAAGCTTCTTTTGGTAATAATTTTAATTTCACGCATTTTGGGTTTTTTAAATTAATTTTCATTTACAAAGTCTGCAGTCGCAAAACTATTTTGTTTTATCCTATTAGCTATTTAATGATTTCTTTGATAATATTAAAGAATAGAAAACTTTTAAAAGTACTTGAAGGGCATATACATTTATGGGTGAAATGTCTGTGAAGGAAAACATCTTATATAGAATGAAGGTGCTTATACTGATCAACATAAAGAAATTGATTACATTGTCCTTTGGAGGACAGATTTTTTTTTTCTTTTTTTTTTTTTTTTTTTTTTTTAAAATTTTTTTTTTTTTTTTTTTTTTTTTTTTTTTTAAGACAGAGTCTTACTCTGTCGCCCAGGCTGGAGTGCCAGTGACACCGTCTCAGCTCACTGCAACCTCCACCTCCTGGGTTCAAGTGATTCTCCTGCCTCAGACTCCTGAGTAGCTGGGATAACAGGCACCTACCACCACACCCGGCTAACTTTTGTATTTCTTTTTTTTTTTAAAGTAAAAACAGGGTTTCACTATGTTGGCCAGGCTGGTCTTGAACTCCTGACCACATGTGATCTGCCTGCATCAGCCTCCCAATATGCTGGGATTACAGGTGTGAGCCACTGCGGTAGGCTAGACAGATACTATTTTTAAATGATGTTTCTAACAGTATTTTGTTAAGTGGCTAAATTACTGTTATTTCTCAAATCTTGAAATTTTTAAATAATAAAATTTTACAGGGTTGGGGTTTATATTCTTTTATATTTCATAGCAAAATTTCCTTTTGTCATCTGAGACTAATTTGCAACTCTAAACCACCTTATGCTAAATTTATCACTCATTTAGCTGATCTCTTTTTTGTTTTAATGCTCTCATGTACATGAAAGATTATGAAAAGTTATTTTTTTAAGTTGGGTAACTACACCAAGGGTACATGAGCAATTTAATCCAGACCGTAAAAATATGACAGTGAGGACTTCTAATAATGAAGGAAAGTAAAGATATCAAGGAAAGTAAAGATATCAAAGATTATAATTCCAAAGCACGCCTTTACCTAATGAAGCTGAAACACAGGCTGTTTGTATATCTCTGTAATGTATACCTAATAGTTTGAAGTAACAAACATGCCAAATTTTCGCCATTATAATTCCAAATAGTTGTCAATCTAGTACACATAAATTACAGAAATAATTTTTTTCTCTATTCGCAATTCCCTTTAATAATGTTTCTGGGATTAATCATTTTCATATTACAACAGCAGAAATATGAATTACCATATCAGTCTTTAAAAATGCCACATTCCAGGCCGGGCGCGGTGGCTCAAGCCTGTAATCCCAGCACTTTGGGAGGCCGAGGCGGGTGGATCACGAGGTCAAGAGATCGAGACCATCCTGGTCTACATGGTGAAACCCCGTCTCTATTAAAAATACAAAAAATTAGCTGGGCACAGTGGCACGTGCCTGTAATCCCAGCTACTCAGGAGGCTGAGGCAGGAGAATTGCCTGAACCCAGGAGACGGAGGTTGCGGTGAGCCGAGATCGTGCCATTGCATTCCAGCCTGGGCAACAAGAGTGAAACTCCGTCTCAAAAAAAAAAAAAAAAAAGCCACATTCCATAGGGCTAAGTAGTATACTTTTCATTTTATAATTTTTAAAATTCAGTGTATTCATGGGTCTCTAAATCACTTTAGAATGTTTGATTTCATTCTTGGTAAATAGAATGATTACCTGTATTATATATACACAACTATTTATGATAAAATAAGATTGATTTAGAACAAAGTACATTACCATATGTAAGTCTGTTTAAATTGTCATGTTACAATCAATGATGAAACCTATCTGAAAGCTGATAACCTGAAGAAAAATATGTACAGATTTAGCTTCTGAGATTAAATAGTCATGATAGGAACTTTATGAATAATTTGTTCTGTGGGATTCGGGATCTCGTATAAGACTTAAAAGGGAGCTTACAGTTGGAGACTATTTTGTTTTTACATTATGTTTAACATTATGCTTTATCTTACCTTGACACTTTAAAGTTGGTGTTGGTATTAGGAGATCTGCACATCCCACACCGGTGCAACAGTTTGCCAGCTAAATTCAAAAAACTCCTGGTGCCAGGAAAAATTCAGCACATTCTCTGCACAGGAAACCTTTGCACCAAAGAGAGTTATGACTATCTCAAGACTCTGGCTGGTGATGTTCATATTGTGAGAGGAGACTTCGATGAGGTGATGTATAATGTATTTCCCTTTCCCTCCTCAAATATCTCCTGTTCTTGATTCTTACTTACATAAGCTTTATCATTAGACCCAGATTTCTCAACTGGTAAGGTTTTTTTTTTTCTTTTTTCTTTTTCAAATGTAAAATTACTATTCATGCTCCTCCCTTACTATTTGGAAATCACTGATTTAGACTACCTAGTAAACATATTAAATACTTTGTCTTACTAAATAGATACTGAGTAAAAGTGGCTTTGTTACTGTTTTTGGCTGTCATTTAGTTTATAAAGTTTTTTTTTTGTTTTGTGTTTTTGAGATGGAGTCTTGCTCTGTCGCCCAGACTGGGGTACAGTGGCACAATCTCAGCTCACTGCAACCTCTGCCTCAGGTTCAAGTGATTGTCCTGCCTAACCTCCTGAGTAGCTGAGATTATAGGCACACGCCACCACTCCCAGCTAATTTTTTATATTTTTAGTAGAGATGGGGTTTTGCCATGTTAGCAAGGCTGGTCTCAAACTCTTGACCTCAGGTGATCCTCCCGCTTCAGCCTCCCAAAGTGCTGGGATTACAGACATGAACCACTGTGCCCAGCCAAGTTTATAAAGTTTTTATTAGGAACTTTTCACTGCCATTACCTCTACTACTTTATTCCAAGCCACCGCATCATTTTCTTGTATTCCAACTTCCTAATTCTACCCTTGCACCTTACAGTTTATTCTCCAGCTAGCAACCAGAGTGATCCTTTTTAAGTGAAGTAAGATCACACTACTTCTCTGTTGGCAACCCTCCTGTGGCTTTGTTTCTCAATGGTTAGCTTTATAGCGGATGAGGGAGTTTTGAAGAAGTGATAGAGCTGCTCTATATCTTCCATGTGGCAGTGCTTATACAGCCATGTGCATTTGTCAAAACCCATCATACGATACATGAAAAAAGTATGATTTGCCAGGCGCAGAGGCTCACGCTTGTAATCCCAGAACTTTGGGAGGCCGAGGCGGGCAGATCACCTGAGGTTGGGAGTTCAAGACCAGCCTGACCAACATGGAAAAAGAAACCCCGTCTCTACTAAAAATACAAAATTAGCCAGGCATGATGGTGCATGCCTGTAATCCCAGCTACTTGGGAGGTTGAGGTAGGAGAATCACTTGAACCTGTGAGGTGGAGGTTGCAGTGAGCCGAGATTGTACCATTGCACTCCTGCGTGGGTAACAAGAGCAAAACTTCGTCTCAAAAAAAAAAGAAAAGAAAAAGTATGATTTTACTCTGTGTAAATTATGCCTCAATAAACCCGACTTTAAAGAAAAAAAGGAGGCCGGGCGTGGTGGCTCACGCCTGTAATCCAAGCACTTTGGAGGCCAAGGTGGGCGGATCACCTGAGGTCGGGAGTTCAAGACCAGCCTGACCAACATGGTGAAACCCCGTCTTAAAAAAGAAAAAAAGGAGCTCTGGAGTTCCCGTTAGTTAATAATAGAATTTTTGGCAGATTACTTCCCCTTTCTGATCCTTGGTAAATATGGCTGAAATGGATGATTTATTTATTTTGAGATGGAGTCTTGTTCTGTAGCCAGGCTGGAGTGCAGTGGCGCAATCTCTGCTCACTGCAACCTCCGCTTCCTGGGTTCAAGTGATTCTCCTGCATCAGCCTCCTGAGCAGCTGGGACTACAGGCGCACACCACCATGCCCAGCTATTTTTTCTATTTTTAGTAGAGTTGGGGTTTTACCATGTTGGCCAGCATGGTCTCGATCTTTTGACCTCGTGATCCACCTGCCTCGGCCTCCCAAAGTGCTGGGATTACAGGCGTGAGCCACTGCACTAGGCCTGGAATGGATGATTTTTAAGACACCTGCCAGTGCCAACATTGTATGATGTCACATAATCCTGATTCTACCTTGAAAATTTTGTTTTTCTGGGAATATATAGAAGCTTTTCATAAATTAAACTTGGTTGGTGTTCTTTAATGGGGTTCCTTAAACCTAACTGAAGGAACATACTGTTTTTGGATAAATTAAAGGTGACATGGAGGTGAAAGATGGGGGAGATAAAAGGAAAGGACAACCAACCTTGTTGTGCCTGTTTCATCATCCATAAAGTGGGAATCATAATAGAACCTTCTAGGATTGTTTGTATTAAGTTGGTATTTGTAAAACCTCTACAGTAGTGCCTGGCTCATACTAAGTACTATATCAGTATTAGCGCTCATTATTTTAAGCCATCTATAATAAACTATTAAACTATTAAGGCTATATTAAGCTATCATGAACACACCTTAACTTACATGCCTTAGGTAAAGGGAAATCACAAGTTTTCAGGGAATAATTATTCTTTACAGCATGCACAAAAGAACCCATATTCTTTAGAAATAAACACAGTAAAGGGATTGCATGATAAATTCCAGTTTTTATTGAGTAAGTTATGTTTTAAATATAGTTGCAGCTTTAGAGACTGAGAAGAAATAAAATATTTATAAATGTGGCTGGGCACAGTGGCTCACACCTGTGATCCTAGAACTTTGGGAGGCCAAGGCAGGTGGATCACTGGAGGTCAGGAGTTCAAAACCAGCCTGGCCAACATGGTGAGACTCTGTCTCTACTAACAATACAAAAAAATTAGCTGTGCTTGGTGGTGAGTGCCTGTAATCCCAGCTGCTTGGGAGGCTGACACAGGAGAATTGCTTGAACCTGGGAGGTGGAGGTTCCAGTAGGCTGAGATCCTGCTACTGCACTCCACCCTGGGAGACAGAGCAAGACTCCATCTCAAAAAAAAAAAAATTATAAATGTGTATGTCGTGGAGCACTACATCAAAACATCATAAGAGATTGAATGTTTAAGCAAACTGACATTTTAAAAATACCAGCATCTCTAAAATACATATTTTCTTATGTCTCTTTCTTTCATTAGAATCTGAATTATCCAGAACAGAAAGTTGTAACTGTTGGACAGTTCAAAATTGGTCTGATCCATGGACATCAAGTTATTCCTTGGGGAGATATGGCCAGCTTAGCCCTGTTGCAGAGGCAGTTTGACGTGGACATTCTTATCTCAGGACACACACACAAATTTGAAGCATTTGAGCATGAAAATAAATTCTACATTAACCCAGGTTCTGCCACTGGGGCATATAATGCCCTGGAAACGTAAGTAGGATAGAATTTGGGAATTTGGGGGCTTTAGTAAAGCAATTGCATGTATGACATTTCATAAAAGAAATGTGTCTGGGCACAGTGGATCATGCCTGTAATACCAGCACTTGGGAGGCCGGAGCAGATTGCTTGAGCCCAGGAGTTTAAGACCAGCCTATACAATATGGTGAGACCCTGTCTCTACAAAAAAAAAAAATTTAATTAGCTGGGTGTGGTGGTGTATGCCTGTGATCCCAGCTACTCAAAAGACTGAGGTGGGATGATCACTTGAGCCCAGGAGGTTAAGACTGCAGTGAGCCGTGCTGGAGGCTCTGTACTCCAGCTGGGGTGACAAAATGAGACAGTCAAAAAAAAAAAAAGGTAAAAATAAATGTGACCTTTTTGAGACAAGAGTCTTGCTCTGTCACCTAGGCTGCAGTGCATTGGTATGATCTTGGCTCATGGCAACCTCTGTCTCCCAGATTCAAGTGATTCTCATGCCTCAGTCTCCCAAGTAGCTGGGATTATAGACACCCACCACCACGCCTGGCTAATTCTTGTAATTTTGGTAGAGACAAGGTTTCACCATGTTAGCCAGACTGGTCTCAAACTCCTGACCTCAGGTGATCCGCCCACCTCGGCCTCCCAAAGTGCTAGGATTGCAGGCGTGAGCCACTATTCCTGGCCACCAGTGACTATTTAAATAAATCTAGCCATTTTGGTAGTCTTCTTTTGGTAACTGTTCATGTGACATGTAACAGATTTCTCTTTGAATCCAAATTGTCATCTTAAATTTATGTGCTGCTCTTTGTGGTACAAAACACTGACATTATTTGTTTTTTCTTCTAGAAACATTATTCCATCATTTGTGTTGATGGATATCCAGGCTTCTACAGTGGTCACCTATGTGTATCAGCTAATTGGAGATGATGTGAAAGTAGAACGAATCGAATACAAAAAATCTTAAAGCCAGGCCTGTCTTGATGATTTTTTTTTCATTGTCCTGTTGAAATCAAGTAAATAAATATTTACGAGCCACAAAATTGTATCACCTTTATAATATTTTGCAGTAAAATATAATACCATCTTCTCTGTTAATACATAATTGCTCTAAGCTTCCTGTAAACTATAAGAATATGTTTAGTTTACAGCATATGGATTCTATGAAAAAATGTCCATGACACAGTAACTGGTCACTTGTTAAGAAAAATTTATCCTTGTAAATATCTTCAAAGTTGGTATTTGGAACTTTATTCCAAAAGTAGTGCATGTGGAGAAAGAATCTAGACTTTCTTGTATACATTTTTCTCTTCTCCAGTAATAAACAATTACCTTTCATTTATACTTTCTTGATAACCTGCTGTTTAATTTTAAAAAACATAAAAATGAGAAACCAAGTGAAACTTCAGATATAAATATTGAAGTGAAATAGATGATTTTCAGAGCTCTTTTCTCTTAACACTATGTTAGAATGTTGAATTCAGATTTTATTTGCTAAATAATATACCATATCGACATTAAATTAGCAGTGATTCTTCAAACCGTTGCTACTCCCATTTTTCAAGGTTTAATAACATTTTTAAAAATATAAATTTAGGGGCCAGGCTCACATCCATAATCCCAGCACTTTGGGATGCCGAGGCGGGCAGATCTCCTGAGGTCAGGAGTTCAAGACCAGCCTGGCCAACGTGGTGAAACCCTTTCTCTACTAAAAATACAAAATTAGCCATGGTAGCATGTGCCTGTAATCCCAGCTACTCGGGAGGCTGAGGCAGGATAATCAATCACTTGAACCCAGGAGGTGGAGGTTGCATGGAGCAGAGATCACACCATTGCACTCCAGCCTGGGCAACAAGAGGGAAATTCTGTCTCAAAAAAAAACAGAAGTTTAGCAAGGAAGCACACTAGAGTAATATATAATGTAAAGAATCCTCTTGTTAGTGTAAGTGCCCCCAACTTAATCCAGTCTGAGTCTCCAAGTATTTATGTGGCAATTTCATAATAGGGCAAATGTGTATTTACATTTTGAAGTTATATTCAAATAGCAAATATTTATTGAGCACCTACTTTGCAAGTCAGAGTATTATCTCTGTCAAATGCTATTCTGTATCTGGATATTTCAAAGCTTTCCTTAGCCTTCGCTCTGTTGCCAGGCTGGAGTGCAGTGGCGAAATCTCAGCTCACTGAAACCTCTGCCTCCTGGGTCCAAGTGATTCTTCTGCCTTAGCCTCCCAAGTAGCTGGGACTACAGGCAGCACCACCACACCCAGCTGATTTTTGTATTTTTAGTAGAGATGGGATTTCACCATGTTGGCCAGGATGGTCTCAATCTCTTGACCTTGTGATCCACCCACCTTGACCTCCCTAAGGTCTAGGATTATAGGCGTAAGCCAGTGTGCCCGGCCCTCATAAGATATTTCAATATTGTTGTTTTAGGACTTACTGTGAACAGAGAAAGAAAAAATTATACAATGCGTTTGTCACATTTAAAGAAAAGTAATTCAATGTTGAATGCAAGAAAAGTTTTAATTATATCTAGCTAGAAGTACAAGTATACTACATGTATATTTTCTTACATAAATGTCATTGGTACATGGAACTACATCAGACCAGTTACATTGTTGTAAAAATTTCTGAACGAAACAAAATTACTTAATGATTTAAGGAATAACAGTACTAACCTAAACATAGAGGACACAACTCACAACCCCTTACCCTCAACTTTGGCACGAATTCAATACACAAGACAAGACTGTCAAGTTAACATCAGATGTTCTCCCTGTTCTTCAATTGACATTGATTGCATAAATTTATTTAGTAAATCTTCTTCCTTTTTTTCTTCACTCATGTATGATTCAGAATCATTTGAAGAAACTGAAGGAAAAATAAGAATTTTTAGTTGTCTGTTTTGGAAATAAAGCTCTAAGTACAAGATTCAAAATGACCTGGCTTATTAATAAGCCTGTAGTAAAGACAAATTGCCTGCAATTCTCTAGGCTCTTAGTCACCTCCTCTTTGCCCCAAATTTCTTACTCTTTAAGATACAAAGTACTGTATTCTAGCCATGTTACTGTATAGCAAATTATGTTACTAAGTCCTATATTACCACTGATTTTTAAAATCTTTTTGTTGGGGGAAATTACAGTGGTCAGCTATATCTTCAGAATCTCTGCATTTTCCTTTAGTTCCTTCTCATCTCTTCCCCCTACCTGGAATTTCCTCTAACTGTTCCTTTTGGAACCTCACTTATGCTCTCTCCTGCCCTTTCCCTCATTGCTTGGCTAGGCATGGTACAATACTTACAGCAGAGGTGGCTAACACTGTCATACAGTGAAGGGATATCAATTCAGAAGGCCTATCTTCCCTACTTGTTTTGTTTTTTGAGATGGGAGTTTTGCTGTTGTTGCCCAGGCTGGAGTGCAATGGTGCAATCTCGGCTCACCACAACCTCTACCTCCCATGTTCAAGTGATTCTCCTGCCTCAGCTGAGTAGCTGGGATTACAGGCATGCACCACCATGCCCGGCTAATTTTGTATTTTTAGTAGAGATGGGTTTCACCATGTTGGTCAGACTGGTCTTGAACGCCTGACCTCAAGCGATCTGCCTGCCTTGGCCTCCCAAAGTGCTGGGATTACAGGCATGAGTGACCGCACCCAACAAACTTCCCTATTTCTTACCCACCTCCCTACTTCACTATACTAATAACTAGGAAATTACTTAACATGATTTAACATTATCAGTTCTGAGGAACACTTCTGATCATTCGGTCTGTCTTCCCTTTTTCATTTTGTAATATTTTGTACTTGTGGTAGAAGGATGCTTTATGCTGATCCTTCCGAAGTCTGGATTTGTCTATGTTGCAGCTGTAAAATTTTGATAATATCACCTGCATGGCTTGAATATCAAACAAAATGATATACAGTAGTCCCTTCTTATCCGCACTTTTGCTTTACAAGGTACAATGTAAGCTATTTTGAGAGAGACCACATCCATGTTTTATTACAGTATGTGTTCTATTTTATATATTGTTAATCTCTTTATATGCCTAACTTATAAATTAAAACTTTATCATAGATATGCATTTATAGGAAATAAAGTAGCCAGGTGCAGTGGCTCACACCTGTAATCCCAGCACTTTGGAAGGGCGAGGTGGGCGGATCACCTGAGGTCAGGAGTTCAAAACCAGCCTGGCCAACATGAAGAAACCCCGTCTCTAGTAAAAAGTACAAAATTAGCCAGGCATGGTGGCGGATGCCTGTAATCCCAGCTACTCAGGAGGCTGAGACAGGAGAATCGCTTGAACCCAGGAGGCGGAGGTTGCAGTGAGCCAAGATCACACCATTGCACTCCAGCCTGGGCAACAAGAGCAAAACTCAGTCTCAAAAAAAAAATAATAATAATAACAAAGTATATATAGGGTTCAGTACTATCTACGCTTTCAGCCACCGACTGGGGGTCTTGGAACATATTCCCTATAGATAAAAAGCGCCTATATAAGAGATACAGCCCTTTGCTATACTATACAAAATATGCTATACGAAATATGTTGTTCATCCAAAAATAGCACTACCTCATAAAAGAAGTGCTACTGGTTGAGAAAGTCATGTTTGTGGTTCTGGGTTCTAACAAATTCTCTACTAAGTCTCTGACCTTGGTATTATAAATACCTTGAATCTCACTTCTTTGAGCAGTATTTTTTTTTTTTAAATTTGAGACAGAGTCTCACTCTGTCACCTAGGCTGGAGTGTAGTGACATAATCTTGGCTCACTGCAACCTCCACCTCCCAGGTTCAAGTAATTCTGCCTCAGCCTCCCAAGTAGCTAGGATTACAGGCACCCGCCACCACGCCTGGCTAACTTTTGTATTTTTAGTAGAGATGGAGTTTTGCCATGTTGGCCAGGCTGGTCTCAAACTCCTGACCTCAGGTAATCTGCTTGTCTTAGCCTCCCAAAGTGCTGAGATTACAGGCGTAAGCCACTGTACCTAGCCCACTATGTTCTTTTAATTGTAAGCATAAACTATATTTTGATTTTTTTTTATCTGCAACAATAAAAGCAAATCATATTCTAAATTGGTTAATATCTGCCTAATGGAAATGAAATTGTATGTGGCATAGTAGTTTTAGGCATAAGATCTTCAAAAATGCCTATTTTTAAAATTTCACATTTACCTGGTTGCATGAACAGTTTCCTTGGTCTTCTAAAAATCTTCAGTGACTTACATCTTGTTTTAGATACATACCCAGTTTTTATCCTATAAGAAAGGAAAGTATCTTAATTGGAGCCAGCTGCCTAGTGCATGTGGGAGACCACATAAATTCGTTTTATTAGCTGCAGCATTACCAAAAACACCCTTTCAGCACCCAGATTCTGTAATTTCTTAATCCTGACATGTAAAACTGCTACAGTGCAATTTCAGTACTCATGCTTCTTAATCTTTTTCCTCTCCGTTACATAGTATTCCCCCGTGCAAAACCAACCATATGCTTCTCCTTTTGAAAGTGTTTGCATTATTTTGAGGTTGAGTGGGAATCACATTGAAAAGAGCAGTCATCCATATCTCTATCTGAAGAAATGTTTATAATTCTACAAAATACATTCTAAAAGAAGTGCAGTAAAGAGAAAGTATGAAAATCTCTCTCTGCTTTTTAAAAGTCCAGCCTATTCTGAATTTAGCAAAGTGAATATATTAGGAAACACAAGCATTATCACTTAGCTACCCTTCAAAAGAGATGGGGAAGGCTGGGCACAGTAGCTCACACCTGTAATCCCAGTGCTTTGGGAGGCAGAAGTGAGAGTAGCCTGGCCAACATAGACACTGTCTCTACAAAACTTTTTATTTAATTAGTAGGGCATGGTGCTTTTGCCTTTCACCCTAGCTGCTTGAGAGTGTAAGGCAGGAGCATTGCTTGAGCCCAGGAGTTTTAAGGATACAGTAAACTGTATCACACCACTACACTCTAGCCTGGGTAACAGAATAAGACCCTGTGTCTCAGGAAAGAAAAAAAAAAATTTGAACTGAGATACATAGATAACGTTTTCTGCCTTTTACACACTAAGAAACAGACCCTTCTTTGTTTCTCACTGGTCGCCAAAGGGAATGCTGTAGGAGCATTTCAGGTGCAGATGCGGCTGCAATATCAGAAGGCCCCAAGTCCTCTCTCTCCAGTTGGTGTCGCCATGTAGTGCAGGGGTAATGCTGTTTTTGTGAGTAACGAGAGCTAAGGCGGCTTCTGTGATGAGTGAGGACACCTGTCATACAAATCACCTCTGTTAAAAGACCCTCTCAAAAAAAAAAAAAAAAAAGAAAAAGACCCTCTCACTAATTGTAAAAAACTAGTGAAAAGCCAACTGGAGGTGCACCTGCCTGGCTTTTGTGAGCTGTGCTGAATTACATGCATGTACTGCCTCTTCATTAACATCTTCAGATAGTTCGCATTATAGATTTTAGCAATGCTGCACAGATAACGCTTCTGGCCTGTGGTGAGGTCTGGATGCTAAAAGACAGAATAAGAGGATTTATAGTCTGCATTGTTAAAG